TTTTTAAGACTCACGTCTGCAGTGGACATATGTACCACAATAGATGAAAATAGAAATGGTTTTACATTGTATCTGTATTATTAGAATTGACCCACCGTCGAAACAACCAAGAAAGAGTGAAAAATTAAAGGCGATTTGATATTAGCCTCCTATTCATATTAGAAAAAGTAACTGCCCTTGTGGTTTTCCTCACAGAGGTGTCTTTATTCATTTGACATGCCTTTAATAACTAATTCTAGTTGTCTGGTTGCCAAGAAAGATTTCCTACGGGCAGACTTGAAAGTGACTCGGAACTCTTTGCATGCCCGGCTTCAAATGATCCCAGAACAGCAAACATTCAGCTTCCCTCCAGACTTCTGAAGTGTGGGAATAACATGAAAGAATGAACAAGAATCATTCTGCAGATTGCATATGCTGTGAGCAGAGCTGTCTGGCTGAGGCTGGGGCTGTGTCTGCATGGACTAGGCATAGTGAGATTTGGAAATAATCTCATGAATTTGATCCATGAAGTCAGCCAAACCAAATGATTTCTTTCAAGAAAATAAACCTGCGTTGGGGCGAGAGTGATCCAGGTCAGTCATAATCACATTGAGTTTTCTTCTGTCTGTGTAGAACTGGATGGGCAGAGGGAATCAGCAGAAACCACAGGTGTGCTCATAGGGCAACCAACTAAAGAGCACACACTATGAACGTGTACAGACATGTACTACCAAATAGTCAATTCTGCTGCTCTCTTGTCGTTTCTGACTCATGACAATCCATATGCTGTAGAATAGATGTGTGCTTCACAGGGCTTTCAAGACTGCCCCCTTTTGGAAACAGATTGACAGGTCTTTCTTCCAAGATACCTCTGGATGGACTCAAACCTCCAAACTTTTGGAAGTAGTGGGGCACTACGCCATTTGTGCAACCCAGGGACTCCTACAGTGGTTATTTATTCATCTCCATGTACTAGGCTAAGTAGTCAACATACATAAGCTCACTTTATGTTGTTAAGTGCCATGGAGTCAGTTCTGACTCATAGTAACCTTGTGTAGGGTTTCTGAGGCTGTAAATCTTTACAGGAGCAGAAAGCCTTATCTTTCTCCTGCAGAACAGCTGGTAGTTTTGAACTACTGACCTTAAGGTTAATAACCTGACTAGTAACCATTATGCTACCAGAGTTCCTTATCTATTGTATTAAGCCACTAAAACTTGTTAGTTCCAGCCATACACCTAAACTGATTAATACAGCTTTTAAGGTGTTAGCAAAATCATGGACTCTTAACCTGTTCCTTGTCTGTAATTACACTAAATGTGATCAACCTATTCCTAAGGGATCTTCTTGTAGGAGCTCTGGTAGCGTAGTGGTTACAAGTCAGACTGCCAACCTCAAGGTCAGCAGTGTGAAACTACCAGTGGTTCCACGGGAGAACGATGAGGTGTTCTGCTCCCGTAAAGATTTACAGCCTCGGAAACTCTGTGAAGGATCACTATGAGTCGGAACTGACTCTACAGTACTTAATAACGTCAACATTCTTGTAGTTGTAGTTGGATGCCGTTGAGTTGATTCTGACTCTTAGCCGCCCCCTGTGTTAAAGAGCAGAACTACCCCATAGGGTTTTCTTCACATGATCCTTAAGGAAATCACTAGGTCTTTTTCCTGAAGAAGTCCTTTGTGGGTTGTTTGAATCACCAACCTTTTGGTTAGCAAACAAGCACTTAATCATCATACCTTCTAGAGTATGTTAGGATGCCCTACTTTTTTTTTTTTTTTTAAGGCTCATCCTTCTTCCTGCTCTAGGTCTTTCTTCCACATGAAAAGAACAAAAAACATAGCCTTCAAGTCTACTTCAACTCATGGTAACTCCATGTGATACAGAGTAGAACTGCCTCCAGATGGTTTGCTAGGTTGGATTATTTAAGAAAGAAGATTGCCAGTCCTTTTGTCCAAGAGTCTCTGGATGAGTTCCAATGGCCAACTTTTAGGTTAAGAGTCAATAGCAAACCAATTGTGATACAGATGAAGGGAATGGTTATTTCCTAGCGTTCCAATTTCCTTCCTAAACAGACACAATCCATTTTTTTTTAAATGTTTTATTGTGAATTATGTGATCATTTACATGGGAGAACATTGGTTTTACATTCATTCTATCCCATATCGTCTCATTGCCATGGTTACAATCTACTCCTCCTAGCTCTTGGTTACTGTACTTCCTTGGTGGGGCTCTGGACCTCTGAGTTGTCTGCTTCCACCCCTCCCATAGACACATATCTAATCAGTGACCAGTGTTTCTTCTATGGGCTTCCTCCATCTCCTCAGCCTCTGCTCTCTTTCTGACCTCATCATACTCACCTGGTTTAATCATAACACCCTCTAAGCTTGTCTTTTCCCCTCCTGCCCATCACCCACTGCCTCCAAAAGGAACTTTTCAAAACAGATCTGCCTCCAGCATGCTCTGCCTAAAATTTAGTTTCTGTGAAAAGTCTATCAACATTAAAAACTCAAATACCCTTTGACCAAACAAGTCCACATGTATTACGAGTTTACAGATACATCACAAAATGACTTCCACACCAGGATATTCACTGCACTGTTCAAAGTAGCAAAAGACTGGAAATACCAATTGTACATCAGTAGTTGCTGTTGTTAAGTGCCGTCGAGTTGATTCCAACTCATAGTGACCCTGTCTAGGGCTTTTGAGGAGTGGTTGGTGGGTTTGTGGCTAGCAGTCCAGTGTTTATCCTACAGCACCACATGAGGACTCCATATATCAGTAGCCTTACTAAATAAGCTATGGAATTCAATGTATTCCATCTAAAAATCTTCAAGATCTATTATTAATAGATTGAGCTAGATGCAAAACAGCATAACATGCAAATATTTTTGTTTAAAAAGTGCTGGAGATATATATCCACACTATCTTTGCAGAGATATGGAATTTTCCTGAAAGACTACATAAGAAAATAAAAATGCTGCCTCCTTCTGAAAAGGGAGTTGAGTGACTGGGGACCAAGGGTGAGACAGAGACTGATTTTTTACTGAAAATATGTTTGCATTGTTTGAAGACTATATTTTATGCATGTATCACTTTAAATTTTTAAATTAAAACCTGACTTCCTAGTGATTTCTGATGAAGTTTAATTCCCTTACTGTGAAAGGCTGTGTGCTATCAAGTCGATTCTGACTCCTGTCAGCCCTGTAAGACACAGAACAGCCCCACAGAGTTTCCTAGGCTGTAACCTTCAGTGGAGTAGATCACCAGGTCTTTTGTCTCACAGAGCACCTGGTGGGTTAAAACCACTGGCATTTAGGTGAGCAGCTCGTCTTAACCACTGTGCCACCAGCGCTCCTTAATGTGAACCGTAAGTCCTTCCAAGTTCTAGCTTGTCTTTTTTGCTTGCTCTTTCTCTCCATCTCACCGTTCACTAAAGTTCCTTGTCCTCTCCTAGCCCTGGGCTTTTGTTTAGTTCTCTCCCTCCCCTTGAAAGTCCAGTCCCTGCTCAGTGGACACTAATTTTATGTGTTATCTACTCTGTTGTCTATTACTTTATTGTTGTTGCTTTTGTGAAGTGCCATCAGGTCAGTTCTGACTCAAGAAACCCCGTATAGGGTTTCCAAAGATGGGCTGGTGAGTTTGAACCACTGACCTTGTAGTTCAAACTAACCTTGTGGTCAAATGTATAGCTACAGCGCCATACCAGGCAGTGGCCTGAAGGTGTCTTTTTTTCCTACAAGATAGTATGCTGTCTTACACAGAGAAAGTATTCAAAATATGTCTATGCCTTTACCCTAATTTACAATTCTACATGTGTCCACAACAACTTCTGGGTGAGAAAGGGCCCAGGGGTGGACCCAGAAGATCAGAGGCAAGATCTGAAATCTGCCTCATCAGGTTGGGGGCTAGATGAGGTTGAGTACTACAACTCAGCCCAGGACATTCTGCGTGAGAGACCTCCTTCCTTCCTTTGGTTCATTGCCAAGGCCAGCCCACCCACCCCCACCCCCTTCCCACTAGTCAGTGATGCTGCATGCTTCCTGGACAACGGCTGACTACATGGTGCTTTCTCAAGAGAGAGACATCTACTGCTCTGGACCACAGTCTAGGGTTTAAACTCAGTTGTCATAATTATTTGAAGCCTATTAAGTTTATTTATGTTCCAAAGCAGGTCCACTAGAGAAGGACCATCATAGTCGTAAATATCAGGGCGGCTGTTCTCCAGACACAGCTGGCCCTCCAGGCCCCTCCCCATCTCAGCTCAGCAGGCCCTGTCTGAGGGGAGTTGGTCCTGCACATAGATAGACAGGGGCAATGCTCTCTGATTCAATACAGCACCCACTCCCTGTCTGACCAATTCTGCCAGCCTGGCCAGCGCAACACACACTAGGGGTGGTGAAGGTGTGTTTAAGCAAGACTCAGAAATCTGTGGGAGTGACAGTGACTTCTGGTTGAAGAGCCCATGGGTCCAGGTTTCTCCTCAAAGAATCCTAGGTACCTGATGATGAGCATAGAACACAGGGCAGATCTGGAACTCTTTGTAATCCCATTTTGAAATTTTTCAGGGCGCCAAAGACTGATTGCATGGCTGCTGAGGATGTGCTTGGAATTCTTGTCTGGGTAAGAATTTCATCACTTTGCCTCCCAAGATTGGAGAAGTCCACTTAGTCCTTAGAGCACTGTTTTCCAAAGTGTATCCCACTGTACATTGGTCTCGTAAGATTCTCCATGAAAAAAACAAAGTTTAAAAAACAATGAACACTAAACCCTTCTCTTGCGGGAGATTAAGAATGCACGTTTTTAATCCTACAGTAAAGAACTTTATTTAACCTAGTGTGTTCTAAATAGATTGGACAACAGAATCCTTTTTCAGCCCAGATGCCTTACTAGGAGCAGTACATGGAGCGCATTCTGGAATAAACTGCCTCCAGAAATGTGTGCCCCTCTTCAGTCTAGAAGAAGGAGTACTTCTCTAACTTCCCCCTCCCTGCATTCTAGTTCTCACATCTTGATCTGACTCACCCAGCTGCCCATGGCCAGGTGGACTCTCTCTTTTTACTGGCTCTTTCCTTCTCTGACCCATCCTAGAATGCTGTCAGAAAGAAAAGTAAGAATCAGTTTCAGCGTCAGACACCTGAACCATTCCCCCACCTACCTGTAGTTTGGCTTTCAGTGTGCAACTACTGGCTGATTTAATATTTATTTATCATTGTTTTAAAGACTGGGATTGATAATTTTTTACTCCAAGTTTGCCTCCTCCAAACTTTACCTGGTCAGGAAAACTTTACCTGGTCTGGTCAGAGTAGCGTACTGTGTTGGTTTAAGACAGTGGTTGTCAAAGTATGGTCCCCAGATCAGCAATAGCATTATAATAGCATGTTAGAAATGGAAATTATCTGACCTACTGAATTAGAAGCTCTCAGCATGGGAGACAGCAATGTGTGTGGTAATAAACCCTCTAGCGGATTCTGACACAGTCAAGTTTCCACACCAGTAGTCCAGGATCTAAATTCCTTCTCTGAATAGGTTCAATTCTATCTCATTCATTTTCTAGACATCTTTTTATTACGTTAATACCAACTTCGGGTGATCCTGTGAGTGTCAGAGTAGAACTGTATTCATAAAGTTTTCACTGGCTGACTTTTCAGAAGTAGACCACCAGACAGTCTTTAGAGGTGCTTCTGGGTGGGCTCCAATGTCTAGTTTTTGGTGAGCAACTGAGAGCATGAACCATTTGCATCACCTAGAGACTCCATCTTTTTATTTATACCACACCTACCACACCTAGTTCCAAATAAGGACATGGACAGCCAAGACTAAAATAACCATGTACTGACTCAATTAAAACAAGGTTACAGGCAAGCACTTCAATAATTACATGGCTCACCTTCAGCATTCCATCCAATCTTGACAAGGTCTTACTTGAACACACTTCCTAAAACATCAACCTTTGTCTTTCCCTAACCCTTCCACTCCATACTCCCTCACCTCCTCATCATAATGTTCTCCTTAGCACCAGAAGGGCTCCTGCCTCCTGCGTGTCTGTTCAGTAAATAAACCTTTGCATAAGGGAGCAAGATGACCTGGTGGCACAATGGTTAAGCACTCAGCTGCTAGCCAAAAGGTTAGCCGTTTGAACTCGCACATGGGCTCCTGGAAAAAAAGACCTGATTATCTGTTTCCATAACAGCAAACAACTTAGACAACCCTGTGAGGGCAGTTCTACAGTATCACATGGGTCACTATAAGTCAAAATTAATTCAATGGCACCTAACAACACCATAAACGGGGCAGGTGAGAGCCATTGCTCTGATCAAACATAAAGCCTAACTCTGAACTTACTGGCTCAGATCCAGGTACAAAGATCTCTTTATCTAATAACAGGAAATTAGATATTCCTCCCTCCTTGTAAGGACAGAATCACTGCAGACCCTCCTTTTTGTTGTGAGGACTCCTTTGCTGGGTAACATAACTATTTCTGATAACATAGCTATTTCTGAGAACTATGCCTCTGAATTCCCAACAGCCCTGTTGCTGAGCTCCAGACCCTTTCATACTCCCAACCTTTCCATTCCATTTTAGAGAAGTTTGTTTTTTTGTCTCTCTCTGGTAAAAAACAGACAGGTTCCTGACGGCAGTTGTGTCTGTGCTGAACTCATCTCCTGGCGGCAAAAGGAATCAGGCACATATTCAGGAAACTTTCTGCTCTTTTAATCAGCTTTGCAGGTTAAATGTGGTTGGGGCGTGAGAGAAGTGGAGAAAGCATTAGACCATATAGTTCTTTCTCAACAAGCTGGAGGGGTAGCCCTCCGCCCCCGCAGAAGAATTTGTCCAGCACTGATAAATTTATAAAGTATTTGGCCTTTAATCAATCCTAATATTTTCAATCCGCAGAGCCTTCATAAATGCCTGCAGCTCTGCCCCTGCACCCCTATTCATCACAATTACTGCTCCAACTGTCGGAGGCCTTGCATGAAACGGCGCATGCTGACGTCCAATATTTTATCACTAATAAAGAGAAACATCCCAAGTATTTTCACAGTTCTGAAACTTTCCAGCCCCAAACCCAGGAAAAGGAGGAACATGATGATTTATGCTCACTGCTAGGCATTGTTAATTGGCCTGTTCTCCTAAGACACTACTGCTGTGGTTTTCATCTCACAGCCCTGAACTGGGATTTGCAGAGAGCCCATGTGACATGGCAGTCAGGCCCAGGTGCGGGAGGGGCCGGCAGAGCACACAGTAGGCCCTCCCTTAGCATCTGGTAAGTGGTGTGAAGCCATAAAGGGAAGTTTTTTAAAATTCAGATTAGGCAAGTGCACCTCACTGGTGGCTTTGTAAACAGATCCAATTTTGTTCCTGTGGTTGCCACAACTGCCTTCCTGCCTCACCCAACCCTCCAGGCAGGGTTTACTGCCCAGCCCCAGTCCCTTCTCAGTCCCAAGTCTCTCCCTCCCAGCTCCAGGCTGAGAGAAGCTGAGTTCCCACCACAGCATTCAGATGACCCACAAGCTAAGTCTACATGGCACCCAAATTTCAGGATGTAATGTAAACCAGCCAAACAAGCAGATGTTTGGTCTCAGGACAGCAGGTGCCTTGGCAGGGTTCAGAGCTTCCAGCTGGGAGGGAAGGACCCCAGAGGAGGCTTGAGAGGGCTGCACACAAATGCCATTATCAAGGAGCTAGAAGTGGGCTTCAAAGGAATAAAGTAAGGAAGTCAGTCAGGGACCCCTAAAAGAAAAAGGTGCTGTTGAACCAGCAACCTAAAATAGAAAGCTGAGGAATTGGGTAGGGGAAGTGCTAATGTTAATCAATAGAGAAGAGAGCTGATGCCAAATCCCTCCTTGATTTCATTATGACAGTGGATTTTCTGAACTGCCACATTCTACACTTCTGCTTTCCAGGAAAGAAGACGGTCCTGATAAAACCAGAAAAGGATCGCCCAAACCTCCTAAAATTGTTAAGTGCTGTCAAATCGATTCCAACCCATAGCAACGTTATAGAGGGTTTCCAAGGAGCAGCTGGTGAGTCTAAACCACTGTCCTTGCAGTTCAAACCACCGACCTTGAAGTTCAGATGACTTTGCAGTCTGACTAGCCTACAGCACCACACCAGGACTCCTTTCTAATATGTGAAAGATCTAATATCTGGGAGGAGGTAGGTTCTAGGGACAGAGGATGTCCTGGGGCTTTGAAAAAATTTCCTCCCCTTCCCCCAACCCCCAGCTTCTATTTAACACAAGGCAAAGCATGTATCACAATAGAGTTATAAGATAATGGAGGTGGGCTGAGAAATTTGGTGAGAGGGATAATGGAGACAGGGCAGGGAGACAGGTGACCATGGAAAGCAGTGGTGGCAGAGACCACAGGGAACCAGACAGAACAAGAAATTAGTTGTGTACTTCTTGATGCCTTCCCTTCAATCCTTCCATCCTCTTCCCACTGACAGTGTATCATAGTAACATGTTCCCCAAGTCTTGTCTCTTACTTCCCAGCTCCTGTGTGTAACAACTAACACATTCCCTCTGTCCTCCTTTCCACTGCACCAAGTCCCTGGGTGTCACAATAAAAACACTCTCCCCTACTTCCTGGTGTGGATAAGCAATCAACTGCAAAGTCTGTTTGAACCTCAAGGTTGGCAGTTCAAATACACCAACCTCTCTCCTCAGAAACCCTATGCAAGGGTCCCTATGAATCAGAACCAACTGAACAGCACTTAACAACAACAACAACAACAACAACCAACTCCCATAGCCCTGAGGGTTATACTCTGAACACTCCCCCACTCTCTCCCCCAGTCTGGTGTGTAACACTGAACAAGCTCCCTCTGTCAGCTTCCCTAGTTCACCAATCCCTAGATAAAACACTGACACACTCCCCATTTCTGTCCTCCACTTCCTCAGTCTGTGTATGACACTAAACACACTCCCCCACTCCTATAGCCTCTGGGTATAACATTCAGCACACTCCCCCACTCCTTTTCCCAACCCCCAGCCCTGTGAGTGACAATGAACACTTCTTCCTGACTCTTTCTATGAGAAAGAGCATAAACTCTTTCTCCTGGTCCTCTCCCCTTCACCAGTCTTGGGTGTAACAATAACACCCGTGCTGGCCCCAACTCTCCCATCCCTTGGCACCCCCATAGCCCTTGTGTGTTTATACCAAATACATTCTTCAGGGTAGCCTTCCTTGGTAGCAGCTCCCCCATTCTTCCTCAACCCCCAAGATTTCCAGAAAAACTCTTATGATCCTCCAGTGATCCTTTGCCCTCAGCACAGCACACACACACAAAAAAAAAACACAAGTACTATGGTTGGCGTGGGAAGGCCAAGGGTTGAGGAATGGTTGCTACTCCTGGCTCCCCCATCCATCTGCTGATTATGGGATTTTGTGCTAAAGACAAATATTTTCCTTTGACCTCAGTGTTTCTATCTGTGAAACTGAGCTGCAATTCAGCTCCAAGTTATTTGGTACCCATGGGGAAGAGTCTGATATTCACAGAGAAATAAAAATTCAAAAACTGCACTATGCTTAGGACCAGGTGAGGCATAGTTGGAGAGAACCAGGGGATTATACTTTAGTGAGGAGAAAATTTTTTGTTTTTGCTCTTTGTGCTTTTTTGTGTGTGAAACGGGAAATGCCAAGCAATGTCCCAAGGTCTTGGGATTTCTAAGTGAAAAATTTCTCCCCTGATAACCACAGCAACCCCTGAATGAAGTGGAGAGTCTTCCCTTCCATTTTTCGGAAGGGTGAGGAGGATGTAGGAATCAGACACAAAGAAAATAAGAAAATGAAAATATAGGTGATCCAATTCCCCTTCCCCCAAGTAGCCATGCTGTTTAGCTTCATGAGTTAGAAGTTTATAGGAATTCTGGATCCATGGTTTCCTATGGTCGCTTTTACAGATCTTGTTAATTTATTACCCTTGGTTACACTTTTAATGGAAATCATGAAGAAATGGCAAAGGAAACATGAGCTAATTTTTTTCCAGTGACACATTTCACTGCTATTTAAATAGCAGTTTTGCCAAACCAA